TTATTTAAAAATACTGTAGATAAAATTATTTATATTAACATAAATATATAATTCACAACTAGTCTACCTAACAAATCCTGAGTTTTTCTTTATTCCACATATCACCTTATGAACTGTTGTTCACAATAAATCTCCTTATGGAAATGGAAGATTAGACCTTTTTAAAGGTTGAACTTCGTTCCTCAGGGTGTTGAGATTGGGTCAATTTCAGAGACAGACCTTGGTGAAATAAGCCCTCTTTATTAAAGCTGCTGCTGTATCCTTCCCCACTGCCATTAAATGCACATTAATCATGCTCAATCCAGCCTGGGCTACTTTAGCACAACCCAGCCATCATTAATAACAGCCCATCCAGTTCAGTGTTGACATTTCCTTTAATTATCCCTGTAATTTATTCATGTACTGTATCAGTGAACTTGTTTTGAGAAGTAAAAAAAAAGAAAGAAAGAAAGAAAGAAAGAAAGGAAGGAAGGAAGGAAAGAGAGAGAGAGAGAGAGAGAGAGGGAGATAGATAAGGAAATAAGTAGCATGAAAGACATAAGGTTATCAGGAGGATTTATCCAAACAAATGAACTTGTGAGAGGATAACTAAGTAAATCAAGAGATCTTAAAGTCCCCATGAAATCAAAATTTAAGTTTTGTGTCTTTTTGTATGAATATGTTAGCCTTAAGGGTAGCTATAAGCTAGTGTGCTCCAAAACAATGACAAAATTCTCATTTAGAAGATACAGGTGCATCTCAAAAAATTTGAATATTTGGAAAATATTGGAAAAGTTAATTTTTTTCCCTGTAATTTAATTTAAAAAGTGGAACTTTCATATATTCTAGATTCATTACACATAAAGTGAAATATTTCAAGATTTTTATTATTTTAATCTTGATGATTACACCTTACATCTCATGTCAATAAAAACTCCAGTATCTTAATATATTAGAATAAAATATTTATAATACATATATGTCGATCTGAGAAGAACTCTAAGCAGCTAATTCACTCAAAACACCTGCAAATTTTCCTGAGCCTTTAATCTCTCAGTCTGGTTCAGTACACACATCCACAATCATGGGGAAGATAAATGTAAATTTTACATTTCGTTTGGAAATCAAGGTCATAGAGTCTGGAGGATACTTTACTCTGTAAATGCGTGACACTTGTTACATTTATATACAATGACATGTTATAACCCATTACAGTTACCCCTCTCATAAAAAAAACAACATAACTATTGTTTCTACATATAGCTAAATATAGCATCAAACAACAAATGTGTTGAAATTACTATTTTAATCAGTTATTGTGCTTCCTTTCCAGTGCATGCTGTTTGATTGCTCATTCAGTGAAGATTAATGGAGACTCACTTGCTGTCTGGATGAGCCTTTATGTAAAATGGAAATACTGGCGTGAATTTCTAACATTTACTGATAAGGATATGAATGTAAAAATGTCATTTCTGCACTGAAGAAAACATGTCTAGAGCACATTAAACAGCGCACACATCTGTCACAACATCTGACATGATATGCCATGTTAATACACTTACAAGTTTGTTTGAAGCACTTAATATAAAACATTTTCATATTTTGGACAACCTGGTTCGTGTACATGGTTAAGGGCCTTGCTTAAGGGCCCAGCTTAGCAGTGCTGGGATTTGAACACATAACTTTCCGATCAGTAGTCCAACGTAACTATTGATTTAACACTGCCATTACCATATTTTTCTGCTTCCAACACATCAACTATGAGAACTGACTGTTCACTTGCTGTTCACTTGCCTAATGTATCCCACCCTTTGACAGGTGCCACTGCAATGAGATAATCAATGCTATTCTCTTCACCTGTCAATGGCTTTAATGTTATGGCTAATAGGTGTAGATTCTCATTTGTGAACTTGCAGTTCAGTGGATTTGTAAATCATAATAACTGTACAACTGTATATTGAATGCAACCTTTGGGTAATTATTCCCTCTAGCTTAGGTTTATCTAAAGACTGTCTCAAAATGAGATCTCTGCTGGGGCTTAAGTCTTGGCATTGCTGTCAAACCATCTGGCAGAGATGATGATCATAAAAATAAATGTAGTTAAGGGCTTAGCCTTTCATCCAGTTTGGCTGGATGGACAGAAACAAATCTTAATCATGTAAAAATGCTGGACGTAATTGGAAATGTATTTTTATTTAGGCTTCTCGAAAAGCCATTTCCATAATCCAAAAGGTGGCTTAGATCACAGACATGGAGGGAAATATATTTTCTTTATCTTTTCACATGATATAAAGAAGAATTCATAACCTAGCACATTAACACTGTAAGATCATAAGTTTATATACGTCTTGCAGAATCTGCAAAATGTTAAGAATTAAATAAAATAAAAGGCACCATAAAAATGACATATATAGTATATATGCAGTACTGCCCTTATTATTGTGTTGTTTAAAGATCTTTTTTTATTTAGTACTGCCCTTCAGAAGCTACATAACATAAATACATGTTTCTCAAATGACAAAATAATAAAAAATTTATACCAATCATCCTGTTAAATTTTTTAGTGAATCTCTTAATGAGTTATGTTGCCTTCTTGATAATCAATGAATGTTTGCACCTTTTGTAATAGTTGTGTTTGAGTCCCTCAGTTGTCCTCAGTGTGAAAAGATGGATCTCAACATCATATAGCCACTGTCAGAAGGGGTCAAGAATGCAGAAGATGCTGGAAAAACTAATAATGTTGAGGACCTGGAAGATTTTTCTTAAGCAAAGTAGGCAGTTTAAACTGCTCAGGACAAACAAGAGACTCATGAACAACAATCGTTGGTCATCCAAGTAACAGCACACAGTATTAAGAATCAAACATATGTAAACTTTTGAACTGGTTCATTTGTGTAAATTCAGTAATTATTGTGTCTTGTGTAAACAACTGTTATTTAAAATACTGTAGATTATTCAAGGCAGTACTAAATCACACAGATAAGAAAGTTAAACACAGATTGTCTGACATATTCAGTTAATTGGTCTTTAAATGTGTACATGAATAAATTTTATGCAAGAACTTAAAAACAAGATTACATTTTAAATCACCACAACTCACCACAACTAGACTTTTTGCAGTTGACAGATCACAAAATATTTTTTATTTTTTAAACGAACCTTTAATTTAGCAAGTCATGAACACTTATTATAACACTTCTTCTCAAACATATATCTGTGGCTGCATTGAAACAAAAATAAAAAATAATGATAATAAATCAATTATCAACTGCAAAACATGTACTTGCATTTATATTTTAGTCCCCATCATAGTACCATGGCTGCTAAAATGAAAGTTCATTTGACAATTTCAAAATTTCATAATGTGAAGGGTTTTCCCAGGCTGCCACATATCATTAAGAACTGGCGAGAGTACACATGACACAAAACATTGTGTGCATCATGATAATTATTTACCTTCAAGTTTCTCCTTTATCTGAGAAGTGCTGGATTGACTTTAAAGTTTAAACACACAGATTCATACATTTAAATACATTTAAATTGTCTCTAATTGTCACTTAGGTATATTGGGCAGATGAGTCGATCCATTCACAGCAAAAGCACAGCCACAATTTTTGCAGGTCCTATAAAAGGCCTTTTTTATTTTTCAGCCTAAAATTGAGTATTTTTCATGTTTTTTTTACACTACTAAATAAATAAAAAAGAATGTACTCTTTTAAAAAGTTAAAATTTGTGAGTTACATGTTTGTAGTACATTCTCCTTTCTGACCTTCTGTGCTTTGGGATCGTTCAGTGCAGTGAGTGGAGAGGTCTGGTTGTTTATGTAGAAGCTGTTAAAAACATACTCTGTAGCTCATGATGGCATGATCAGTGATCACTTATTCGCCGCAGATATCATTAACAGAGTAAAAAAAAATTATAAGGGAGCAGGTGCCGCCTCCGAGCGCATCAGTATGTCAATATGTCAATTTGGATTTGTAGCAGCACACAAATGGGGGTTAGGAAAATCTTCAGTGACTTGTTTTAATTGAGATTTAATCGCACAACTCTTAATTGAAATCTTTCATGCATGCTGTAGTTAAGTGAGATGTTGTACCCTTGTCATAAATGATACTTGGTATACCAAAAATAAATAATCACAGACTCTAACATATTAAGGTCATTGGAGGTTTATAAATATGAAAGTCCCTGGTGAGTTATAAAGAATGTAAAAGGAGTGTTTGTAATTTGCAATCCATTTTCATTAACATAAATCCATTCCTGATGGTTTAGAAGGTTTGGAATTTTCCCTGAGTCCCTGTCCTTGTGTGTTGATGGCTGACACATATCCTCATTATGTGGTTTCTTTTCATACCATTTGAGTTTCCTCACACCTTTATTTTTCTGCCTTTTTTTTCTTCTTTTATTCACACGGGCATCTCTTGGCCAGGTTTTTGACACAAGGCCATTTATTTACCTAGTGTTAAATTATTATTTTCCCTGTTCCTGATGATGGGATCAGTCTCATTCACAAAAAGCATCAACAGATAATTATGCGTGATAAATATTTCATCCCCCCACTTACAGCATGCTAATGTCCATCATGCTTTTGCTGATGAACCTCTGTTTATTGTCCAGTTCAACATTCAGACAAGGTTTTAAAAAAGAGAGAGATTCAGAATAGTGGTAATTTTTAAGTGTTAACACGCAAATGTCTTTAGGCAATGTGATAATCACAAAGAGAAATAGCTTGCACAGTTGGAATCAAACTAAAATCATAGCAGAAATGCATTAGACCAAAAGATGATGTTCACAGATGATAAAGCAGCATAAATCTACACTCTGCTCCAAACCCTAGAATTCATGTCTAGGCAGTGTTCTCTGTCATGGAGACAGCATCAAAAAATATACACAGCCATGATTTATTTTCACAAATGCAAAAATCTGTCAAGTCAAATCAGAATCTTATTTCTGATTGACACGCCACCTGCAGTTATTCAGTTTTTTCTCTCTGTTACTTTTATCTTTAATCAATATGTGGTTCCCTGGTGGATTAGTGGCTAGAATGTGGGGCTCTCACGTTTATTGCCTGGGTTCGATTCACGGTTAGGGAACCAACTCCAGCCACTGGAAGGTAGCACAAGTCAGGATGCTCTCAGTGCTGGTCCCAAGCCTGGAAAATGTGTGAAGGTGTGATCCGCTGTGGCGTGCCCCGAACGGGAGCAGTTTATCAATATGTTGTAATAATGTTGGCCTACACACCATAACAAGCTAGAATAAGCTAGAATCTTTTTCATGAAAGCTTAATTATATTTCATATTTATCCAAATAAAATAGATGAAAAAAACTCAAATTTATGGGGAATTAATAAATATGAACCTTTAAGAACCCTTATAGACACACATTGTATTTGATACTGTCAAATGTCAAATGTTTGTGGTTAATATTAAGATTCTATTTCTGTGTTTCTGGTCAAAATGCTGACTTTTAACAATTTTAATTTATAAACTGTGTAAAAAAAACGTCCTGCTCCACTGCTATTACTTGCATTGTATTGCTCATAATGCAGAGATGGTTGCTATGATACTGAAAACGCGGCAGCTGGTAGTAAAACAATACTTAAAGTTTGCCTTTGTTTGCAAGTAGTAACAAAAGAAACTTTGTTAATTCTATCAAATTATTGTGTGTGTATGACAAAGTAAGTAATCATTTGTTTCTGTTCTTGTTTCAGTTTTTAGATTCCTAACTGTTCATTTTTCAATATGCTGCAGCCTGCAGTGTTACTGAATGAAACTTATCCTTGAAAATTATTGACAAAATGGCATCAATTATCCATCCATCGGCTTATTTTCTGGATTCAGTTTACTGTATTATTAATGCGGTTGTGTATGTTTTAATGTATTGTCTCTTCATGGCCACTACTGCATTGCATATACCATATAATGTAATGCAATAGATAATGGACAACATTTGGAGATTTTTAAGAAAGTATTTTCTACAGTGGCCAATGTAGAATATTGCACCCCTATCATATGTGGTTTCATTGTTCCTGAAAGACTGGTGATTTAGCAGGTCAAACTATGTCTAACAAACACTTTATGTATGATTTGGATACCATAGAACTTGGCTATCACAAAATACAAATACTAATATTACTATGAACCACAGAGCAGTCAGAATCCACAATGTCAGGAACTTATAGCACTGAAGAAACAGCACAAGGATGCAAGAGAAGAGCAGCAAGCACCTCTAGCAGGGCTTTATACAATAATCAGGAAGAGGCTCCAAACATTGTGCAGAGCAGAACAGCACAGTTGGCAGCAGAAAGAACAAGCCAAAAAGCATGCCGCCTTCATAGGCAACCCATTTGCTTTTGAGCAACTCCTAGGGACGAAACATAGAGGACACCTAGCCTGTTCTAAAAAGAGGTCAACCAACACCTCAGCAGTACCATGAGCAACTCCACCATAGAAGGAGATTCAGGGTAGTGCAACAAAGCAATCAGACCACCAGAATCTGAAGTGGCTTTTAATATCATGAGCCACTCTTGAAAGAAGCCCAAGAGGCACCATGTTAGGGAGGTAACAGGAACCCTGGCCATGAACATGTTAGTGAAAATAGCTGAACTGGAGTGCCCAAGACCAAGATCTGTCAACTCCCAATCTAGCACAGATGAATTTTACAAAGTTGGAGGCAGATGAATTCTGTAGAGACTGGAAGAACTGATGTCATGGACCAAGATTTCCAAGCCAGCTAAATCAAGATCCTTGGTGTTGAAAACAACTTTCCATTTCGAGTACACCAGTCCAATCCATTTCAGAGAAGCCTGGTAAATACCTTGAAATACCTTTTACACACCAATCAAGAACACCTGTTAGGAGATGGAAGGATGGGTTATTTTTGGAAGTAAAGATTGTATTCATCAATATTGTATTGTGCCAAAATATATTAGCGGTATTGCTTCTCTGTGAGTTCTCAAGTTCCACCATAGCTGACCTAGAGAGGAGGGTCAGCCTCTACCTGAGAAGATGGCTTGGACTACCCTTAGCCTAAAGCACCATAACCTTACATGGTAACACATGCAAGCTGAGTCCCCAATTAAAACCAATCAAAGAAGGGTTCATGGTCTTGTAAGCCAAGAAAATATTGCAATGGAGGGAGCCAATGACCCTAGAGTCCAGGAAGGGCTCACCATAAGAACTGGAGGGCAGAGGAGGCACTGGATCAGGCATAGTCTAGCCTGGGGCACTCAGCCGTGGTAGGCAAAGTGGCAAATTGAAAGGCTGGTCTAATAAAACAAATGGCAAAGTGCATTGGCAATTGATCCATGAATACTGTAGGGGTGACCAGCCATCAAAGAGGTCCAGAAGAGCAGTGGGGATGAGGCAACAAGATGCCTGGCCAAGAGAAGGTAGTGAAGTGGAGGATCACATGTGCTGAGCATAAAATTCATAAAATTCTTGTCTATGATGTCCTTCCTATTCCATCCAACCTGAACTGCTAGGGTATGACAGAGACACTAGATGTGCTTTGTGTGTGTGTGTGTAAAAAGAAATACTATATATATATGTGTGTGTGTGTGTGTGTGTGTGTGTGTGTGTGTGTGTGTGTGTGTGTGTGTGTGTGTGTGTGTAAAAAGAAACACTATATATATATACATATATACACACACACACACACACACACACACACACACACACACACAGAGCACATCTAGTGTCTCTGTCATACCCTAGCAGTTCAACACACACACACACACACACACATACATACATACATACATACATACATACATATGCATGTCTTACACTTTCATTACCTTATTATTTTCTTTATTCTCTATTAACTACCCATAAAAGGCTCCAGCAGAAATAATTCTTCATCTCTTATATCTTCTAGGTGAGGTTAGAAGATAGTCAGATAGCACAGATATAACATTGTGCACACAGAAGCTACATTTAAAGTATTTACTCAATGGCTGACATTAAAAGGATTTTGACAGCAGCAATAGAAGACCAGTTATGACCATGAATGGCCTTGCTGTTTGTTTGCATTCCATAATGTTTTTCTGTCTCCTCCCACAGAAAATAGGCAGATAAGCTTCTTAACACATATTGTAGCCCAAATCATCAAAGAGTAGCACTGCAGAAAGCAGCTACATTCAATACACCCTTCATAGCACAGCATCCATCAAGCTCTATTTCAGCTTTGATGAAAGGTGATTATGGAATACATAATGTACAAGGTTGTTTAAACTTGGTCATGGGTAAGGAGATGTGAAATGATTACTATATGCTTGAATGGTACAGAAGATTTTACGCTGTTTTAGTAATAATGCTTTTAGGAAAAGGCTAGCATTGCATTTGCTAATTTTTATCACTTAAAACAGTAAACCAATGGTAGGCCCTAGTAATGTACGGTATCTTTCACTACACAGTTGGCCTGTTTTAGATACAATATGTAAGTTTAAAGCATGGTATGAAATTCGTTCATGGTAGGAAATAAAACACAACAAGACTTAAAAGTTTAAGTCTTTAAGAGTTTTAGAACTTTAAACAAATTTTTTTTGCCACACAAGAGGTTTAATAACACAAGATCAGAAGCAATGACTCTAAAATATGCTGAAATAAGTTAGGTGAAATGAAAGCCAAACTTACAGGAAAAAGCAAGGCTTGAGGGCAAATTGCCTAAAGCCACCCCACTCCCAGTGCGCTGCTCCTGAAGCAACCAGGCAGGAGGTCTATGGATGAGGAGGATGAGGTGAAAGTCCTCCTTGGTTTGGTGATCCAGAACATCTTGGGCAGATCTCCAAGATCTATCCTCCTGACCATACCCCTCCCAATTCTTTAGAGGTTTTAACTAAGCACTGTCAACCATAAAGGCTAGTGAAAGTGCATCTAGGGGTTCAGCTTTTTGTAGGGGTCTGAGCAGCACTGGTCTTTGGAGAAGGACATAGGATAAGGATGTTATACAATATTGTGGAGGCAGCTGTTTTCAGTAAGTGACCTGGATGGTGTGTCATAGGATCTTGTGGACCAAAGTTTTCTTGATGGTAAATATAAGTTAATATCCTTAATGGTTCATGTACGGTGCTGTTTTTGTGTATATCTCATACTAAACTCTTTCAGAAAGTAAAACAGAATTGAAGATAAAACAAAGGCAACCTGAGTAAAAACAAAATGCAGTTTTTAAATGATTATGTTATTTATTGAAGCAGAAAAGTTATCCAATACCAACTGGGCCAGTATGAAAATTTATTTACCCCTGTAGTTACAAATTCCCCAAATCTACTGCATTCAAAATGGAGTTCAGCTAAACTAGACACAACCAGGCCTGATTACTGTAAAACTTTGTCAACAGCATGACAGTGGTTAAAAGGTCTTACCCAGCAACACACTATGCCAATATTGAAATAAATTCCAGAAATCATGAGGAACAAGGTGATTAAATATCACCAATCAGTCTGGGAAGGGTTACAAATCTATTTCAAAGACTCTCCAAAGGACTAAAGTAAGAGCCATTATCTCCAAATGGAAAAAAAAACCTCAGCACAATAGTGAACCTTCCCAGAAGTTGCCGACCTTCCAAAATTCACCAAAGAGTACAGCAACTACTCATCCAGTAAGTAACAAAAGAGCCAAGGACAAAATCAAAAGACCTATATGCCTTTCTTGCATCAATAAAGGTCACTGCAATATCAGAAAAACACTGGAAAAAATGGCTTCCATGGAAGTGAAAACCACTGCTAACCCAGAAGATCCAGAAGGCTTGTTTGGTCCCGTTACATCTGGCATAAACCAAACACAGAATTCTACAAAAAGAACAGCATACTTATGGTCAAGCATGGTGGTGGAAATGTAATGGTGTGGGGACGCTTTGCTTCAGGGCCTGGGCAACATGAAGGAATTTATTATGGCCATATTTATTATGAGGGAAATATGAATTCTGCTCTCTACCAGAACATCCTAAAGGAGAATGTCTGGTTTTCAGTGAATATCAAGTGCAACTGGATTATGCAGCAAGACAATAATCCAAAGTAAGTCCTAGTCCTAGAAGTAATTGACAGATTGATCTCCAGTTATCAGAACCGTTTGGTTGCAGTTGTTTTTTTTAC